CCATATTAAATGTTTGCTTTAATGCAGCCCAGTGGTTAGTGTCTCTGATGGATTTTGAGAGTACCAGGTTTCGACTCTTTATACCTACTAATAAAAAAAATAAAAATAAAAATTTTAAAAAATTTAAGAATAAATAATAAAATTTTTAAAAAATAAAAATAAAAATTTAAAAATTCAAACAATAATTAAAAAATTTTGAAAAATAAAAAAATTTAAAAAATTTAACAATAAATAAAAAATTAAAAAAATTAAAAATTTAAAAAATAAAAATTAATTAAAATAATAATTAATGGGTCCACGGGTTATAATGGGTTGACCCTGTCCATTTTCAACCCGTCCATATTCAACACGTTCAGAACGGGTTGAATATGGGTCTTAACCCATATTGACCTGCTTATTTTCAACCCAACCCAAACCCGACTCAACCCTGTCATTTTCAACCCAACCCAAACCCAACCCAACTCGCCCATTTGCCACCCCTACTTCTAACCCTTCTTGTCTAGTAAAAAAAAAAAATGTAAATGTTTGCTTTAATAACTTTGAAATTTTTGAAGTAGACAACTGTTAGCCCCTTGACGGTTGTCCAAGGGAAGACATGGGCATTTCAAGGCCATGCCATGTCTTGAGAATACTTTGGCTTTGGTTAGACAGCCATGAGGATGCTCAGTGGGTTGTCAGCGTACACAAGATGCTCAGCGTGCACACAGGATGCTTAAAAGGATGCTCGGCGTGCACTGGGGGTGCCCAGTGGCACTTTCGTAAATATGGTGAAAAATGAAAGTTAGAGTTTTGACTCGGGATCTTTATGGGAGGTACCTTGAGTCCATAGAAGCTGGTTGGCGCAGACGGCACTCAATTTGGATGTCGGGAAAGGCCTGAAAGGCCATTATGACTCCTCAAGCATGGGTGATGTTTACTCCTGTCAGAGTGCTGGATTTCCTTAAGACTATACTAGGGGGAGTCTGTTGAGCACATCGGTTGGGCTATGGCATGGCTTGCTTAGAGGGCTTAGCCAACGTGCATGGGCACGTGTTGCACCACTCCAAGATGGTTGCACAAGTCGGGAGCTGTAATACCCCTAATTTAAAACAAGATAGGTTTGGAATTTATTTTATTATTTTAAGTTGAATTTTAATCATTTAATTGTTTCTTTGAAGTGTTTGATAATTATTTAATTATTGTAATTAGTTATTTGGTTTGTTGATATGGTTGTTATTTGTTTAAATTGATGGTTTCGTTGTTAGCGTGATTGGATTTAATTATTTCAAATTTAATTGTTTAATTGTTGGTTACTTGTAACTGTGTTGTAGTTAATTTTTCTTATTCTAAGTTAAGTTGTTAATTGTCTTTAATTGTTTAGTTATGTGTTTAATTGTAATGGTGTTATATTTAATTCTTTATTGTAAATGTAAATTGGTAATTGTCTTGATTTAATAATTAGGGTTAAATTGGTAATTGTCTTGATTTAATAAGAAGGGTTTTACTTTTAATCAGTTTGTAAGCCGTCGTAGGTTTCTCAGTATGTTGGATGGGCCGGTTAGGATTTCAGTTGGGGCTTGAATTAATTTAGGGTTTAGTAAAATCCTATAAATTTATGTTAGATGTTTGGTTAGGGTTTTAGAAACATAACAAAACCAAGTATACGACTGTGGAGACAAAGGAAGAACAGAGAGTGTTCACATTGGTTTTCGTCGGAACTTTAGAGACGGCGTAGAGATTTTTGGACAAAGATCTCAAAGGCAAGTTCTAACCTTACTCTCTCCCTTATGCTCGTGTTCTTTGCATACTCAATAGTTCTAGGATGAATTACATGTTTAAAAATAAAAACGTTATCTGTTTCATGTTTAGAGTTTAACTGAAACTGAATTTGTTTTAAAATTGTTAAACTGGTTAACTTTGAACTTTCTTGTTTAATTCTTGGTTTAATCCATATTAGCAGCATAATAAGGACTGAATTAAGGGTTGGAATCTTCTAGGATTAAGTTAAACTCTTTGAAAACCTATACTGTGAAGTGTCGGAGGCGTAAACGACGACTGGAGAGGAGAACACGAAGAAGATGAGGGAGAGAGCCGGCTCCTATTGGATTGGAGCCGGCTCTCCTTGGATTGGAGGCGGCTCCAATGGTCTAGGAGCCGGCTCCAAGGCCATTGGAGGCGGCTCCAATATTCTGGAGCCGGCTCCAGGTTGTTTTCTACGTGGATTTTTTGGTTCTATTGTTTGTTTTCCACTTTTCAGTGATTAAGCTTCATAGTGATTGTTTTACTATGTTTTAGTGGAGAATGAATACTGTAATGGATGGTTTAGGAGTAGTCTAGAGTAAACATAAATATTCAAAGATCAGATTAACATAGAATTGGACACAAAGCGTTAATCATTAGGATTACATGGAGTTAATTACGAATGTCTTGTAGACTTGTGTGGATTTGGAGTTTCTAACTTCTAGATTATAATGAAAAATTTCCTGTGAGAGTTTGTGCACTGCTAATTGCAAATTCTTAGAATATACATACATACAAGGAATCTGTATTTTTACTAAAGATTAATTGATGGTTAAACTTAACATTTAATTCGTCAATTTTGTTGAATAGGAACTTAACAGTATGATAAATTGTCTAGATTTATTATGCATGCCATGGAAATAAATATTATAACATTTGTTTAAGCTCTGTTAATTATGGATATCGGGAATAAACTTATATTTACAGACACAATCCTGTGGGTGATCAGGTAATGGCTTATTGTTGGATTAATTAAGCATGTTTTTCTAGTATACTTTAATGTGCTTAGTTTGGAACTGTGGGTTTTGACACTGATACTGTTAGTACTTAATCAATGGTTGGATTTATTAAAGCATGATGGTTAATCTATTCTAACATGGTTAGGTTGGAATTGTTGGTTTTGTCATTTATAAATTATTTAAATGTGTGGAATAGAGTAATTAATATTGATATTTATGTTTCCAATGTTAATCAATTTGTTGGGACTATTCAAGAACGGTTGTTAATACATTATGATATGCTTGATATGGACTCGTTGATATTGTTATGTACTTGTATATGCTTTATCAACTATTGGACGGATGGGATTGTATGTACCGGTATGGGACGGTGACATACTAGGTTTGGACAGCACAAGTTGCTAAGTTCTACCTATTTGGAATAAAGGTACGGGTTATTAAATAAATCCTCCTTATATGTATGTAAGTCAGTGCGGTTGACTACGCCGAACGACTTAATGGATTTCTTGTGGATGGATGGAATTGGAGTTTAAATATATTTTTGTGGTACCATGACATGAGCTTGAGTCTCAGAGTCAACGGTTAGGATGCGTATATGCAGTTGGATGTGTAGCTGTCTGTGGGGATTGAGTTATACCCTGTTTAGGCTTAGGTACTCATACCCACTCAGGTGCGATTTGTGTGATGCCTTCTATTCAGGTTGAGACCCTCTTCATAGTCTAGCGAGGGTCCAGTAGTGTGGATATATATTTATGTACGGACTATTAGCTATTGATTGAACTATTTAGTATGTACTTGCATATCGGGTCTCTGCTTGAATTGCAGTAGGATAGAACTTGTTCGTGGGCCTAACCCACTCCTATTTTACAGGTGTACGTCAGTTCTAGGCTTAAGCTTGTTCGTGTGGAGCAGAGACAGTCACTCATTCTTCCGATGATGTAGGATCTCTTTCCAGATGTTCGACTTGGATTTTATCTTCAGTTTTACTTTGATTTAGTTTGGGATTTTTATATTAGGGGTCCACTAGAGATGGATTCCCGAGTTGTTAAAAGATTGGAGTTTGGGTTTGATGGATTTTAATAATTATAATATTTTGCGGATTCTATTTTTAGTTCCTTCCAGCTTTAATTTCATTTTTTAATTCATTTTGTATTCCGTGTTCATTATAAAATATTAATTGTTTGATATTCCCTCGGGTTTGGGCCTGGACCTGATCAACCCGTGTCTCGGATCCGAGGGGTATCACAGGAGCATCCAAGATATTGAAGGGCAAACAAGTGGGCACCGACACGCGCGCTGGTGTGCAGCAGCGCGCGTGCGGGCATGCAGGTGGGCGCGCGGGCAGGCATCCAACCTAGTGTGCGCGAGCGTCTAGCTCGGCGTGCGCATGGGCGTCCAGGTGGGCGTTCAGCCATGGGCGCATGAGGGTTCAAACATGGCGCGCGAAGAAGGGCACTAGTGTGTGCGCCGGCGTGCACTTTGGTGTGACCCGAGCGTGCGCACAGGCGTGCATGGCTTGGCACGCCGTGCACTCAGAGACATATATATGTGGGTGCAGATTGGTGGACTTGGCTTGGGCTAGGTTCACAAGGTTGACTCAGATTTAGCTAGAGCATAGACAGCACAAAGTCATGGCTTGCGGTTACAAGAGGTGGTAGCTTAGTGGGCTCGGTCAGTTGGGGGAAGTTACTAGCACTTCCCACTCATCATGGGAAGTGGGGGAGTGCTGAGTAACCTCCCAAGCATGTGGCACAATTCTGAGAAGACCAACACACAGGTGGTTAAGGGTGGTTTCCTCCACTATGCAGAATGTAACTTCTTGTGGTTATGTGGCATGAGCAGAACATGCCAACAAGTCTAGCAGTTGGGCTTATCAACTACATTATAGTGCTGGCATATTTAGAGGGTGCCAGCAGGACCTTAGGTGGATGGGGGTGTCATCCATCATCTTAGTAGGCAGTTATGGGCGGTTTTGAGAGTGGCCTATATAATGCTAAGGTGGGCTTTGTAGAGGGAACAGAGAGGAGGGTGTGAGCCTTGGTTGTTCCTTGTACGAACTCATGTTCCTTTGTAATATGTTTAATATGAGCAAAGGTTGGGGCTTGTCCCTATAAACTGTGTATGCCTTCTTTATATTTCTATACTGTGTGTATTGTGTTGTTGTGTTGGCTGAGACTTGGTGGCCCCAAGTGCCATTACAGAGGCAAAAATTCGTGGTGTAATTTAGCCCTGTAACAATTGGTATCAAAGCCCCGTTCTACGATGGCTGGAGGTAATACTCGTGAGAAAGTTTCCCGTTTGGAAGAGTTCGTGGGTTTTCCTACAGAAACAGAGGTACAAGATGGTGCAGAGAGCCTTGTTGTTCGAATTGAAAACTTGGCTTCTGAAGTGGAGATCTTGAAGACTGATCCTGATGGGTTTGGTGACTTCATGCAGGCCACCAAAGAGCAATTGACCCGTATCTCTGAAGATGTTGAGTTATTGACTGACGTCTTCAAGAAGAACCTGAAAGACCTTGAAGATGAAGTGTCCTTGGTGAAGAGGGCCATTCATGGGAGTTCTAGAGGCGGTGGTGATCCTCTTTCACAGAAGATCAAGGTGCCGGATCCCAAGTCTTTCAGTGGCACCCGAAATGCCAAAGAGTTGGAGAATTTCCTATGGGACATGGAGCAGTACTGCAAGGCTGCTCGGATCCCCGATGGCGAGAAGGTGACCATTACAAGCATGTATCTGTCTTGTGATGCTTGTGATGCAAAACTATGGTGGCGCACATGGACAGAGGACGATGCTTCTGCGGGTAGGCCTTGGATTGAAGTTTGGGAGACCCTTAAGAAGGAATTGAAGGACCAGTTCTTGCCTCAGAACACTGCATGGATTGCAAGGGAATCTCTGAAGAAATTGAAGCACACAGGTACCGTTCGTGACTATATGAAGGACTTTAGTTCCTTGATGCTGGACATTCGAAATATGTCAGAGGAGGACAAGCTGTTCAATTTCATGTCCGGATTGCAACCATGGGCTCAGGCAGAACTCCGTAGGCAAGGTGTGAGGGACCTTCCTACTGCCATGACAGCGGCAGATTGTCTTGTAGATTTCAAGATGACTGGGTCTACTACATAAGACAAGAAGAAGTCCAATGAGGGGAAAAAAGACAAAGGCCAGTCCTTCAGGTTCAAGGACAAGAATCAAAAGAAGGATAAAGGTAGTGGCTTTGTCAAGGCCAAGGCAAATTATAATAACAAAGGGAGCAGTAGTAGGACTAAGCCCAACTACGGTTGTTTCATCTGCAATGGTCCCCATCGTGTTAGGGACTGCCCCAAGAGGGAGAAGCTGAGTGCTATTGTCGCTGATTCAAAAGGAGACTCAGACTCGGAAAGTGGTCCAACCCGAGTCAATCCTCTGCAAATGCTGAATGCTCTTACTGAAGAACAGTCCATGGAGTTGAAAGGGGTCATGTTCATTCAGGTGACGCTGAACGGCAAGGAAGTTTTGGCAATGGTGGACACGGGAGCCACTCATAACTTCATTGCGCAGAGGGAAGTAAGTAACTTTAATTTAAAGTTAATTCCACATGCTAATAAGATGAAAGCTGTGAATTCTGAAGCCAAGCCTGTCTTAGGCATGGCCACCACTTCTATGAAAGTTGGTTGTTGGGAGGGCGTAGTTAGTCTTATGGCTGTACCCTTAGATGATTTTGATCTAATTCTTGGAGTTGAGTTCCTTACGAAAGCCCAGGAGTTATGCCATATTTGGGAGGAGTTTTTATTTGGGACAGGAGTTGTCCATGTTTTATTCCATCAGTAGCTCTTTATGGGCACCAAAAGAAGGAAGATCGTAAATATGGCTGCATCGAAATAACTTCTGCATTGCAAGTGAAAACAGGTTTGAAGAGGGGAGACTCTACCTTTCTTGCAGCTATGATAGAGATCAAACTGGACCAGTTTGTTGAACTTCCAGATTCTGTTGCTGAAATTCTAGAAGAATTTGCAGAAGTGATACCACCAGAACTACCCAAGCAATTGCCCCCTCGACGTGCTGTTGATCACAAGATAGAGTTGGAGCTGGGTTCTAGGGCTCCTGCTCAGGCCCCATACCGGATGGCGCCTTCAGAACTGGCTGAACTGCGTAGATAGTTGGATGAGTTGCTGGAGTCTGGCTATATTTAACCATCCAAGGCACCGTATGGCGCGCCAGTGTTGTTCCAGAAGAAGCAGGATGGCTCAATGCGGATGTGTGTGGACTATAGGGCTCTGAATAAGGTGACTGTGAAGAACAAGTATCCAGTGCCCAATGCCGCAGATTTATTTGACAGGTTGTCAAGGGCATCCTACTTTACTAAGCTGGATTTACTTGCAGGCTACTAGCAGGTGTGTATAGCAGAAGGAGATGAACCCAAAACTGCATGTGTAACTCGTTATGGGTCTTATGAATTTCTTGTAATGCCGTTTGGGCTAACTAATACCCCGGCAACCTTCTGCAACTTAATGAATAATGTGTTTTATGACTACATTGATCGCTTTGTTGTTGTTTACTTGGATGACATTGTAGTCTATAGTGAGTCATTGAAAGATCACTTAAAACACTTGAGATTGGTTTTCTCAAAACTGAAGGAGTTTCAGTTATATGTCAAAAAGGAGAAGTGTGAGTTTTGTCGCCAAGAAGTGATGTTTTTGGGGCATTGGATCAATAAGGGCCATGTCAGAATGGATGAGAGAAAGGTGAAAGCTATCCTTGATTGGTCTGCACCTACCAAAGTGACAGAGTTGAGATCTTTTCTAGGGTTGGCAAACTACTACAGAAAGTTTATAAAGGGGTATTCCAAGAAGCTTAGTCCTTTAACGGACTTGCTAAAGAAGGATAAATAGTGGGTTTGGTCTGAGGAGTGCCAGAATGCTTTTGAGATGCTTAAGCAGGCAGTGTCTACAGAACCGGTCTTGAGACTGCCTGACTTTGGTTTGCCATTTGAAGTGCATACTGATGCCTCTGACAGAGCAATTGGTGTGGTCCTAGTCCAAGAAGGACACCCATGCGCCTTTAAAAGCAGGAAGCTTAAGGATGCTAAACAAAGGTATACAACTCATGAGAAAGAGATGACTGCAGTGATACATTATCTTGACGCATGGAAGCACTATCTGTTGGGTACCAAGTTTACAGTGGTGACTGATAATGTGGCCAATACCTACTTCAAGACACAGAAAAAGCTTACTCCAAAGCAAGCTCGTTGGCAAGAGTTTTTTGGGGAGTTCAATTTTGTGTGGGTTCACAGACCTGGAAAGCAGAATCTGGTTGCTGATGTCTTGAGTAGGAAAGAAGTGCAGGAGTATGTGGCGTCGTTGACAATGGTGTATACTGATTTCCTTGACATAATCAAAAAGCAATCTCAGTCCGACAATGCCTATTAGAAACTAAAGCAACAGGTTACAGATGGTGAAGTCAGAAAGTACTGGATTGAAGATAATCTACTCTACGCCGGAGGAGGTAGATTATATGTTCCTGTTGGAGGTTTGAGACGGGAACTAATGCGGGAAATGCATGATCCTCAATGGGCTGGACATCCAGGGGTGGATAGAATGTTGGCGTTGATATCGAGATCATATTACTGGCCCAAGATGGAGGATGATATAGAGTTATATGTCAAGACTTGCTTGGTCTGTCAGAAAGACAAGCATGAGAGGAAGAATGAGGCAGGGCTACTGCAACCCTTGCCTATACCAGAGCATCCATGGCAGTTAGTTTCAATGGACTTCATTTCTTGTTTTCCTAAGGTAGAAGGTATGAGATCTATTTTTGTGGTTGTAGATAGATTCTCTAAGTATGCAATTTTTATTGCTGCACCACATGCATGCCCAGCGGAAGTTACTGCTGGTTTATTTCATAAGTTTGTGGTGAAATATTTTGGCTTGCCCGAAGATATTGTTAGTGATCGTGACACCAGATTTATGGGAAGGTTCTGGACAATGCTATTTAGCTTGATGGGTTCTGAACTGTAGGTCTCCACAGCAAACCATCCTCAGACTGAAAGGATTAACTAGTTATTGGAAGAATATCTGAGGCACTATGTCACTGCAAGTTAGAAAAATTGGCTGGAGTTGTTAGACACTGCACAATTCTCTTATAATTTGCACAGGTCTTCAGCAACAGGAATGAGTCCCTTTGAGTTGGCAACAGGGCAACAACCTCGCACACCATAGGAGGTGGCAGTGTAGAGGACTGGTGGAAGATGCCCTGCAGCATACCGATATGCCCGTTCCATGTAAGAGATGGTGAAGGAGGCACAGGACAGCCTTGCCAAGGCTGTGAGAAGGATGAAAAAGTATGCAGATAAAGGGAGAAGACCATTAGAGTTCCAAGTGGGAGACAAGGTTCTATTGAAGTTGACTCCACAGATTTGGAAGAAGATAAGCAGCAAGACTGTTCACAGAGGGCAGATTCAGAAGTATGATGGTCCATTTGAAGTTGTAAAGAAAGTGGGGAATGTTGCTTATAGATTACAGTTACCTGAGAGACTGAAGGTCCATCCTACTTTTCATGTGAGTTTCCTCAAGCCTTTTCATGAGGACACTGCAGATACATCAAGATAGCAGGCTAAGAGAGCCCCACCTGTTATTTGGTTGCAATTTAACAAGGAGGTGGAGAAGATTTTGTCTCCCCGGACCCAGGGTCAGAGTAAAAAAAATCGTAGAACTGATTACTTGGTGCAGTGGAAAGGATGCAGTGAAGCAGAGGCGAGTTGGGAAAGGGATGTGACATTATGGCAGTTTGAGAAATAGGTAAGGGAGTACTTGGACAAGTCGATGAGGGCGTCGACTTCTTCTGGTGGGGGTGGTTTGTTAGCCCCTTGACTGTTGTCCAAGGGAAGACATAGGCATTTCAAGGCCATGCCATGTCTTGAGAATACTTTAGCTTTGGTTAGACAGCCATGAGGATGCTCAGTGGGTTGTCAGCGTACACAAGATGCTCAGCGTGCACACAGGATGCTTAAAAGGATGTTCGGCGTGCACTGGGGGTGCCCAGTGGCACTTTCGTAAATATGGTGAAAAATGAAACTTGGAGTTTTGACTCGGGATCTTTATGGGAGGTACCTTGAGTCCATAGAAGCTGGTTGGCGCAGACGGCACTCAATTTGGATGTCGGGAAAGGCCTGAAAGGCCATTATGACTCCTTAAGCATGGGTGATGTTTACTCCTGTCAGAGTGTTGGATTTCCTTAAGATTATACTAGGGGGGGTCTGTTGAGCACACCGGTTGGGCTATGGCATGGCTTGCTTAGAGGGCTTAGCCAACATTCATGGGCACGTGTTGCTCCACTCCAAGATGGTGGCACAAGTGGGGAGCATCCAAGATATTGAAGGCAAACAAGTGGGCACCGACACGCGCGCTGGTGTGCAGCGGCGCGCGTGCGGGCATGCAGGTGGGCGCGTGGGCAGGCATCCAACCTAGTGTGCGTGAGCGTCTAGCTCGGCGTGTGCATGGGCGTCCAGGTGGGCGTTCAGCCACGGGCGCATGAGGGTTCAAACATGGAGCGCGAAGAAGGGCACTAGTGTGTGCGCCGGCGTGCACTTTGGTGTGCACCCGAGCGTGCGCACGGGCGTGCATAACTTGGCACGCCGTACACTCAGAGACATATATATGTGGGTGCAGATTGGTGGACTTGGCTTGGGCTAGGTTCACAAGGTTGACTCAGATTTGGTTAGAGCATAGACAACACAAAGTCATGGCTTGCGGTTACAAGAGGTGGTGGCTTAGTGGGCTCGGTTGGGGGAAGTTACTAGCACTTCCCACTCATCATGGGAAGTGGGGGAGTGCTGAGTAACCTCCCAAGCATGTGGCACAATTCTGAGAAGACCAACACACAGGCGGTTAAGGGTGGTTTCCTCCACTATGCAGAATGTAACTTCTTGTGGTTATGTGGCATGAGCAGAACATGCCAACAAGTCTAGCAGTTGGGCTTATCAACTGCATTATAATGCTGGCACATTTAGAGGGTGCCAGCATGACCCTAGGTGGATGGGGGTGTCATCCATCATCTTAGTGGGCAGTTATGGAAGGTTTTGAGAGTGGCTTATATAATGCTAAGGTGGGCTTTGTAGAGGGAACAGAGAGGAGGGTGTGAGCCTTAGTTGTTTCTTGTACGAACTCATGTTCCTTTGTAATATGTTTAATATGAGCAAAGGTTGGGGCTTGTCCCTGTAAACTGTGTGTGCCTTCTTAGGGATGTCAATTTTTACCGCCCCGCCGGGGCCCCGCCCCGTCCCGCCCCGTTAATAACGGATATGGGAACACTTGTTATACCGTTGGGGCGGACATGGATACAAATTTTGTACCCGTCGAGGGTCACGGGGCGGGTAAGGGTTCAATATACATATCTTAGGGGCCCCGCCCCGCCCCGCCCAGCATATAACTTTATTTAATATATATATATATATATATATATATATATATATATATATATATTAATAAGTTATTTTAGCGGCTTACCCAATTACCCATCTCTTACAATCCTAATTTGGGATGTAAACTTGGTATTAAATTTGCTTTTGTTTTGGTTATGGTGGAAGTTGGAGCTTAGAAGTTCTTGTGATTTGATTGTATTAAACTTTTATTTTTGTTTATTATGTTCTCTGAATTATGTTATGTGCATGTTATTTTTTTTTTATTTTTATTAGGATACATAATTTTATTTATGTTGTGTCATTCCTAGGCTTTGCACATTTAAATAGCAGGAGTTTAAGTTCCAAAAAGTGGGAGAAAAAAATTTGTTAGTGGGGCGGGCACGGGGGCACAGTATTTCCTAACGGGGCGGGGTTGGATATGAAAATCCAACCCGTTGCGGGTCTTGGGGCGGGCATGGACTTGACAAAAATTAAAAGGGGCGGCGCGGGATTTAGGGAAACCCACTCCAAACCCGCCCCGTTACCATCCCCACCTTCTTTACATTTCTATACTGTGTGTATTGTGTTGGCTGAGATTTGGTGGCCCCAAGTGTCATTATAGAGGCAAAAATTCGTGGTGTAATTTAGCCCTGTAACAACAACTAATATGGGAGTAAAAGATAATAATTGAGATAAGCACTTACATGGAAATTTTCCAACAAAAAACCAGATTAACTAGTTTGTATTACTATTTTCACAATC